CCCATTTTGCCTTCGGAACCCATACTGGATGGCCAACACCCCTACCCTATACCATGGTTATCATTACTGAACTCCGATTAAAGCCTCTAGTCTCCGAAACACTAGTCCTTACCTCTTGCTCCGTCAAGTAATCATTAAAATACGGGCCTAGTGCTTCTGGACTACGAAACACCTATTCCTTGCCCACGTCATCGATACCTTACCCGTTCCCTCAAGATTTCTGGACTCCGCCCGTTGCTAGGACACTAGCTCAATCTCCTGCTCCGTTGAGTGATTTGATTGGGTAGTGCTCCAAAACACAAAAGCACTTCCCGGTTCTCCTAAAGGAATACACTATTCCGATTTAACCACCCCTTTCGGAATCCCAACCATCCTGTCACTGACTTCTCAGCTAGCTTCGTTCTCCTCCATTACTCCCCCGCTTTCCACGATCCCCGAGAGCCCTCTGGAGATATTATGGAGCTTGACGGTTACTTCCGGACCTCCTATATATAAAAAAAAAAAAATAATAATAAACCAACTATCCTTCGATTTCCCCCAACCCTAGTCATTGGATACCCATTGATCAGAGTTGTGATCCTTCCTTCCAAAACCCTCCTAGTCTTAGGAACCAGGTACCATGCCCACATGAAGGATGAACGCTGGGACGTCCACCCTAAGAAGGGGATACGCCTGCCGTTCGCTCATTAAGGACTTCCGGTACCAGTCCCACCAAGACTCACTCTGCTCTCATCGTCCCATAATAGTCACACCCCTTTTTCGGTGACCCTGGGATAGACTTCGGAACCACACAAACATCACACCATTCTTAGTGAAAGGACCCTCCAAACTTAGGCTTTCTTCATTTCGGAGATTGCTGGGTTACAGAGGAACCCCTCACTCCCATTCCTTCGGATACTTTGAAAGGTCTTCTGGACCCTTCCTGGTATCATCACTCCAGAATTCCCGGAATCACTGGTTATACACCAACCCCACTCAGTATCCCCGAATCCTCCATATTTCCCATTTCCCAGCCTCCTAAGGATTCCCTGGACACCGGTTGTTCATATCGGCATTCATGATTGCTTCCAAGTGCTTATGCTAGGGGTTCCGTTGACAACAGTCCCCGTTCTTCTCTAATTTTTTACCTCTCAGGACCAGTTAGGGACACCTCCCACCTTACTACCCGATTCTTAGGTCACACTAAAGTTGCACGGTACAAAGGGGGGGATGTCATTCGTTAAATCAAAAAAAAAAAAGAAAGAGAGGGATGAACGATGTACAACGGAGTAGTTAAGATTTTACAGACAAAGCGTCAGCAGTACTGGGCGAGCCATTGGCCACGTCGAAACGATCGTAAGAAGTACAGTCCTCCTTCTCAGGCACCATAGCCTGCCTCCCACCCACTTCAGGCTCCTCATCCCCCATAACCGCCTTGTCAACAGCCGAGTTGCTGGACCCCCTCCTCGACCCGCTGGCCAAGGCGCTGCCCATCATGGTGTTATGGACCCGGAGCTGCTCGCTGATCGCAGCAAGCCACCCCATGCCATCCCTCATCAGAGCTGTCTGCTGACGGATAGCCTCCATCTGCAGCGACTCCACCTCCACCTCCTCCTCCACCCTCACTCTCTTCTCAGGGCGATAGGTCAACGCGACCTCGGCGCGTTGAGGCACCCATTCGCATCGTACCTTGGCGTCACAACAACCCGCACACGACGACTTGCCCAGCCCCTCCTTGCCTGGCACGCACTCGATGTGGCACTTGAGGCACCTGGCACACACAGGGGGCCAATCACTGGTCGACGGCGTTGACATCACAATAGATTTACACTAATCCGAAAAAAAAAATTGGTCAGCGTTTTTTCCACCAAACGGATGACAGACTACCGTTACTACCCACCTTCCTTGCTGCTGCCTCCTCTTTCCTCCTCTTTTTCTTTGCTTCGGCGGCCCTTCTGGCCTCCTCAGCCTCCTCCCGTTCCCATTCCTCAGCAGCCTTTGCAGCTGCTTGACAATGACGATGCTCCGTCAACTTGATGACTGCCAAACGATCGTCGTCCCCCGAATCGTCCTCCAGACGAGTGTCCGACCAGTCCGAGACTTGGCTGTAGTTTGACATGATGTTGTGGTTGCGAAAGAGGCTGCAACCTGTTCTTTCTGGCGCGTTTTAACGTGGGAGCCAAGAAAAATAGACTCGGATTTCCCCGTATTTTAGCTGGATCTGGCCACATGTCCTTCAAGGGTTCAGTCCTAAGAAGGGATACTGTCATATCCCGGAATCCCGACCCTGCGCACTCCCACCACATCACACCTTCCTAACAACTTCACCATCCCCTACACCACGCCTCCCCACTCCCCAAGTCACCTCCCCTCCTGATGTCTCAGCTCCGGTCTGGTTGCGGCACACCAAACCTTGGCCACTCCCATCCCGGAAGCTCAGTCCTGAGTCGGAACATTCGGAGACTCTGGATTTGCTCCGATATCCCGACGGACCTCCGACATCCCGTGACACACCCTTAAACCATTTCTCCACCCATTTCATTTATTTGAGTCACCCAACATCCTTCGGATACGCAACTCCGCTTTCGGAGTTACCCACATCCTTCAGTGATCTCACTCACGTCATCACTTATTAGTCACCCTCCACTCTTAGCACGACTATCTTCTTCTTACCATTCAGTCGGCTAACCCCCCCCTTACCCATTTCTCGTTCCCATTCATTTTTGTCAGGGCACATACCCTGACTTAGCCCGGACCCGGACCCGCGTCCGGACCCGCTCCACTTCCCGCGCACTTCCTGCGCCGCACGCTCCGCGCGCCGCATGATCCGACCCCGGATCCCACCTCATGTGACTTCCGGGTATCCCCGGAAGTTTTCGCCATATTGGGGCCACTGTGGGAAAGTGAGAAGTTAACCTTCTTCTCACTTTCTTACCCACAGTAGGCAAGTGTAGCCTACTCTTCATTTATCTATACACTTTCTTACCCACAGTAGTTATGCCCTGAGATGGGCTGTGTTTACAGGCTAGACTGTGGACTGTAGAGAGGGGTCATGGGGACCCGGGGTCCGTCCCCTGACAATTTTCCGGCCTCTTACTCTGCCCTCTATGGTCCGACACCTCAGTTCCCCATTAAAGATATTGTTCGGGACCTTTTGGTACCTCTCGGTATCATTCGGCACCTTTCGGTGTTGTCCCATTGTCATTCGGACTTTGACTAAGTCCTTTCCACTCCCCTTTATAAATACCCATAGATTAGAACCTCTAGCTCCTCAGTTCTAATCACAACTAATATGCTACCCAAAGTCCCTATGAGTGAATCCCATTCCATTCTACAAGATTCCTCAGACATAAGAAATACAAGGACTAACTGAGACGTAACGGAGGCACAGCGCTCCCTCTGAGTCGCTGAGGCCACATCCCTCTTAGAGCCTCTTGTACCATCCAGCAGAACTGGGCTTCCTGGAGAAGCTTCGGTCCACCACCGGAGCTCTCGGATTCCCCTCTAGTTGAGCCCCGCCTGCATTCGGACTCACGCATTTACCCCTACGATCCAGGTTTTTGACAATACTGTCATATCCATGCACGGCCATCGACTTCCACTACCTCCGATCTCTCCGGACTACCTCCGCTCCTTCTTCACTAACCTCGGAGCTCCCATATTCCGCAATCACCTCCACTTCCCTCGATGGTCACCCCCCCTCTTTTCAATATATTACCTACACCTCCCTAAGTATGGAGCCCTGAAGGCTTCTGGACAGCTCCGACGTCCGCTAGTGCACCCCTGCCTCCACTGGGCAATACATTCGCTTGCCCTGCAAGCCCACCTTCGGGCCTATCCCTCCTTTCTGTTTCTGGGTTATTGCCTACCATTCCGCTAACCCCGTAACCTGACTTGTCAGTAATATTCAATCGGCTAATGTTTAACCCTGTTAGCTCTGCTCCACTCAGCCCTGTCATTTACGGGCCTGCCCCCACTGTAACTATATATACTTGACTTGTAAATAGGTTACACCTCAGTAATAAAATCGACTAGAGTTGACCCCCTTTAGTTCTCGTTGCCAGTAAGTAAGTTAGGGCACGGACATGTAACTTGGCACAGCGCTCCTGGCATAAGTCGCTGAGGCCGAAGCCCCCTGCCACGGAGACATTCCTCCACCCCGATCCGGTCTCTGACAGTAGGTGGTCATGTATCCTGGTAACTACTTGCCCACTACGACATGATATACTAGCTAGTGCTGCTCTACTGGATGTTGTTCATCAACAATGAAAGCCAGACATAATGTGCACTTCCAGGTGATTCCCTAAGCTTGAAGATTCTTCCCACTACAACTGATCTGTCGTCTGCTGAATATTTTTTGTTCAGTAAGCAAGATAGTGAATAAGGTTGGTCCTAACCCTGGAATGGACCGGCTCCGCGACCGTGCGCCACCCGGATCATAATTAGGAAGTTAATGTGAATCGATTATGTAACAAAAATTAACACTCTAGATTGAATGAAGAAGCGCGCTAATGTAGCGACAAATTAACGCCGCTTGCCCCGTTACTTAATATCACTCGGCACGAAATCGGCATGATGATCGCTACCCGATGTTGCCAGTGTCTATTGGCGACTGATCAAGGACAACCTTGCTTGCATACGCTCTCTCTTTGCCCCCAAACTCGTCCTACTCAATTCCAGAAGCTACAGTTTCGGATATGATTGCGCCAACATACTTTCAAGATCGTTACCTTGGCCGATGGCACTTGCACTCGATCTTGGGGTACATAGGTTGGCCCAGGAAGCGAAATGACGCCTACCTCTGTCTGGAGCATATATTCACCGTTTCCAGCACTGTCCCTCTATCCGGAGAATCAGCGTTTCGGTCAGGGTAATTCACGATCTGGGCGAACCCAATAAGGGGGACCATTTCCTTACCCCTTTGTCCTTTTGAATGACGGTGACGCCGGGATTATTCCTTCATTCCGTGAATTTCTGGCTTGTCAGAACAGTAGTGGGAATGGAACATTCAACCAGGAAAAATGGTTGAGACGAAAGAGGACCTCGTGCGATATTCCCGAATGTGGGAGACCCTCAAGCACGCGTTTGGGTTGAGAGTGTTGCAGCCTAAGCCATCCCCCTTTTCGCTCATACCGGTATCAGCATTTGGCTTTTCCCTTGGGCTCTTAAGTCAACGCCGTTCAGCTTGTTTTCCGTATTAGAGCGGTTTTATCTCAAGACTGCTTCTGACTAGCCACCTCCTTAGCCAGGTGGGCAGTCATCACGGTACCCATCACTCACATAGGATACCTTCTCCGCTCGAGTAACGACTCTGTTCAATTTCATCCGTAGAATTTCTAGAGACGACCATTGCACCTCTGCGCGTTGAACTCATCAGATTTGTACGGTAAGACCATATTTCCACTTAACCTAGGACCAAGGTTGGCCAATGATACTCACCGAGGTACTCTCCATCATTCACTCTTGGGAATTTCCTCCGTCATCGTCCAGTCTTTCGGCTCTATCGGTGTAAGTTGCCTCAATAGTCTCTTCTTTTCGTCTATGAATTCCTCACGTCGCTAGCCTGGCTAGTGGGTCGATCTGACTACCAACGCTACCTGCACGCGATGTCCATATGCATCTATTGATGTCTAGGATCCCTACTGACAGGACTTCTTGACTCTGGGGCGCGAATATGAATGGCGGAGCCTGACATGTCATCTTCAAGTTCTAGGGGCTGGGCTCAGTGGAATCAATTCATTTTTTGAGAATCGCCGTGTTCTTGTACTCGATACAGCGATCTGTCTCAAAGCATGTGTGAATCGTCAAGGGAATCATGGACAGTGGGAGTTCTTCGGGACCAGGCGAAGAATGATGGGTGGCTTCGTCATCCTTTTACCCAAACCGCCTTGGAAAAACAAAAGCGGCTAGAAGGACGTGATGCCGGCTCCACCAGAAGTCTACATAGGATGAAATTGACATCATTGTCAGCTTTAGACATCAAATGCCGCTGAGCGGGGGCACTTGGCCATCCACCAAGACGATTTGATCCCCATCATCCTTCATTTTCATGAAACTCAAAGTGGGGACAAGGCCACGGATATCGACAGTATCACCAACTCTTTTAGAGTGTAACGACCTTCTACCGCTTAATCCAGAAAACCATTTTCCTATCAACCTGCTATATGGTCGCTCTATCCGAAGAGCGTCGTCTCTGTTTGATATTGATCGAAAATATTGGCTAATGGCCCGAATAGACCCCAAGAATAAAAGCTTTCGTATAAGTAATCGCAGATGCGGGAATAAGATGCTGGGATGAAAGTGGTCAGTCATCAGAACAATTGCACGATCCCAAGATCAGAATAAGGGCCCCAGATGACTCCTATATCGTTCACCTTAAAGAGCGGTGCAAAGCGGACAGCAATGGGCCTGTTGGGGATTTGGCTGACATTGGGCGCCTATTTTTGTGCGGATTTGCCGAAGAAGCATGGGAGCATCCGGTATGATAGGACTCTGAAGGAAAAGGGGGTCGAAACACGGAGGTTGGTTGGCGGAAGGCAAAAGAGATAGTTTGGCGCGTAGTGCCAAGACGATTGAGACGCAGGTGCGCGAACATGCCCATGCCGTTCCACCCAGACCATTTACAAACACGCTGCCTAGACACATGCGACCCGACACACAGGTGAATTCGAAATGGTTGTCCTGAGAAATTAACGTTTCGGGGGTTTTAAAAAAGGAGGAAGAAACGAATCGGCGATCTAAAAGAAAAATCAGTTATATTCAGGGAAAACCAGTAATGACGACAATGAGACATCGGCGGAGTCCTTGTCACAGTAAAAATGCGGTAGCAAATCAGTCGCTGTCGTTTCTGCCTGCTTTCCCTTACAAGTGTCCAGAGGTAGGGCACTTGACAAAGGGCGAAGGGAGAGTGAGGAAAAATAGAAAGAGACCGTTAAGGGAAACGGCATAGTGAAGGGCACTAGGATGGCGGCGAGAAGAGGCGCGAGGGCAGAGAAAGAGGGATAGATCGCATAATCATTGGTTGAGCCCCTTGGACTGAAGTGAGTGTTGTGTGCACCTCAGTAAGAACCGGCGTCGCATTAACGAACCGCGGCCCAACCGCTGTGAGACCCTTCGATATTCAATAGCACCGAGAGAAGTGAAGGCGATGTTCCTTCAACGCGCCCACTTGGTGTCGAGCGGTCTCGAGACACATTTCGGTAATTCTGAAGTCCTGTGACCGGTTGGACGTCAGGCTCAATTTCCAGGCATTGTGAGTACAAAACCCATGCCTGAGTAGGAGTGCCACATGGAGACCTGCATGGGTTGGACGTGTAAGGGCCAGGGGCAGGTTCCCCATACTCACATGTCAACAGGGATACGGAATGGAGTGTCGCAACGAAATTGCGTCGGAGTATCTCAGCCAGAGTGAGCACAACCGTATGGTAACGTTATGTGTCGGCTGGAGTCAAGCCTAGATGTTGGCGAGCACCATAAGGATTGGCCCTAGAAGATTGACATGGTGATTGACATGGGGAGTGTTAAATAAGATAAATTTCGGGCCAGGTGATCGTGTAGTCCTAAAGGGCCAGTGCATAGTTGGGAAACGAATGCTAATTGCTGCATTTTAAAGACGCCAGAATTTGGCGAAAGAGCCTGCGAACTTCAACTTGCGAGGGAATGTAATTTCTGTGTCGGAGTTGGCCGAACATATTGCGACGACCCCGACGGATCTCAGTTCAAAATATGTATAGCAGAACACCAGGCGTTGTTTCCGTTAAGATTATTTCACGAAACTGGGCTACTGTACTGAGTATCGGAAACTGATTATGTCGGCGCATCAACAAAGCCTATCAACCAAATTGAAGCGCATCGCCAACTGCACACTCTTTATGATCTCGATATTCCCCGGTGGCTAGTATACACTCCGATTCAGTGCCAAGTTATCCCGGCGGGGCATCCCTGTCTTCCAGTGGTTTAGTACCCCGGTACATACATTACGTCAGGCACACTGTCCTATACTTGGATACTTTCAACTATTTCGTCATTCTCTACTCCACGATCCTGATATTTTTCTATGGCATCAACTGTCAGCTTGCAGGTGTGTTTTCAGCTACGTATTTGACAATGAGACCAGAGCGGTAACGTAACGACAGGTATCAAGCCTGATATATACCTGCCCGCGGCCCATTATTAACGCGCGCAAAGCCGGCGCTCGGCCACTTACCGGCATCCTACTAGTAAAGCTGATTGCACTCCAAGACCTGATGAAAGGCTAGACCGGATCCCCTGCCTCCACTGACATACGTCGCGTGCGCGTGCTCCACCGGCGCTTACCGCCAGCTCTCTGTACGAATCGAGCGCAGTGACCAGTGCCTCCATATGACGTCCCGATAGTCCTTGCTCGTTCATATCTAGTTCTTATTCCTAATCACATTCATCCTGCTTCCAGTTCTAGGCGGCATGATACTGGGTCATGCCACCGCTGGAATTCGCCGCTGATACTGGATCAGAGGTCCGTATGGTGTCGACCAAATAGTCAATACATATATCATATTCTTCCTCAACCTTCCATAATAAGCCGGAGGCCTCGTGGCTCTAGCTTCTGAGCGTTTAGGGGCTCACACGTGCGTTGCGCGCCTAAAGCTCTTTCCTCCATCTACTTGTCCGTTGTCGACCATGTCGCTGCAGCAAGGGGCTGAAACTCCGAGGCAACAGGCAAAAGATCTCCTCGCAGTGGGGGGTAACTTGGCGGTTTTAACTCTTGGAGGTGTCAATGCCACGGCTGATTGGTGTCCGCCCCTGAAGAATGCGACTAGTGCTGCACTCTTCATCTACGACGAGGTTAACGTTGGTAATGATTATGCTCGTTTACGAGTGAAAGCTCACGCCGATTTGCGCCATGTAGAAGTTCAGGGAGAACGCAAAGGAATGGGCTGGTTTCGGTGAATACGTAGCGAGCACCATGGCCAACGTATCTTCAGCCATAAAGTCCGATGATGTATCAGCGGAAGAGGCAAAGCCATGGGTGGAAAGTGCCACAGAGCTTGATGGGTGAGTCTATCCATTTTGGCAGTCTTCGATATCGTAGTTACATCAAGTCCCAGCGCGTTACAGAAGATTAAGTCCGAAATTGAAAGACGGGAAAAAGTAGAGAAACGATCGACTCTCAGAAAAACATTCTCCTACTTGAAAGACCCGGGAAGAATTAACGACTTAAAGAAAGATTTTGACAAAGCATTGGCATCGTTTCAGGTAGCTTTCCTTACAGTATCCTTCCATAACCGTTCTGATTTCCGGCCGATGCAGGTTAGGACGAACTTGATAACTGGCGCCAAGTTAGCGGCCATAGAACGTTGTCTACACGAAGACAAAATTCTCGATAGTCTCCGATACCCTCATCTTGCTCATGATGATTCCACTCAGGCGTGCCTGGAAGACACTAGGGTTGATCTCATTGAGCGTATCATGGCATGGTGCCGCAACACTGAGGATAGCGAGAACCGGCTAATGCTGTTGACTGCTGTGGCCGGTGCTGGCAAGACTTCGATTGCACTCACGATAGCAGAACAATGTGCCAGCGAAGGGGATGTTACCCTGTTACTGCCCTTCTTCTTTAAAGCGGGCGAACGATCGCGGCCTGATTTTCTATTCAGTGGCATGGCTCGAGCTTTGGCAGACCATGACCCCGTTTACCGCACTTTCATTACCTCTGCTCTTCGAAACGATCCTAGTCTCTCAACAGCTTCATTCGCGACGCAGTTCAAGAAATTGGTGGCTCCGTCTCTACTCCATAAACCTCCGCCTTCTGACCGTCCTATGGTGATCATCATCGACGCTTTAGATGAATGTGACAAAGAAGCGTTCGAATCCCTTGCCGAAATTCTTGGGGATGAAGTGCCCAGGCTACCATCTTCCATAAAATTCTTCATCACATCGAGACAATTTGATCTCGTGAATCGCTACCTCTCCCCCAATTACCCTATTGATCGTCTCACTATCGATCTCTTGGACGAGGCAAATGTGCGGGACTGTGCTAAATTCATACGCTTCCAGCTGCAAAAGCTAAAGAAATTACATTGGGATCTACAGCGTAATCTTAAGGACGAGGATAAAATGGTGCAGGAGATCTCGGAACGAGCAAATGGCTTGTTTATCTGGATCAGCACCATCTTTCGCTACATGAAGATGACCAACCAGGATCCTATGGGGACACTAAAAAGTCTGCTTGACACTGGTGCCAAACGACCAGAGGTCCCTGCTGAGAAGATGATGGAAGACTTGTATACAAGCATCTTGAAGAAGTGTGCTTGGGAGGATGAAAATTTTGCGCACGATTACCCAATCGTGATGGGAGCAATCTTCGTTGCTCAGGAGCCTCTGTCCATCACAGCATGGGACACAATTTTGTCACCTTTCCTCAAGTCTTCTGTTCGATATGCATTGGCCGAACTTGCTCCACTGCTCTCAGGAATTGAGGATTCTCACATTCCGGTTTGCATCTTACACCAATCTTTCCGCGATTTTATTGTCGATCGGATCCATCCCCAAACAATCAGCTCGCATTGCCCTCCCATAGCTGTGGGGGTGGAGAATGCCAGGGTCGCCCTGCAATGCACCAAGATTTTGAACGGGGGACTCTGCTCTGTAAAGGGCTTAGGACAGATCGAAAACTTGTCCGAAGAAGTTGAAATGCCGCGCATTCCTCCATCGGAGTTATCTGAGCACTTTCGTTATGCATGTCGCCACATCGTCCACCACCTAAGTGGAGTCAAGGGACCATCAGAGGAGCTTGCTGGGTCAGTTGGTATGTTTCTGGGTCGGGAAGCAACTCGGTGGGTGGAAGTCTGTGTGAGAATGGAAAGCTATGTCAGTATCTTGTTACTTCCTGAGTGGGCCAAGGTATGGGTTATGAATTGTGTTAAAGAAACTGCCTCATGGTCTTCTAGTTGGCTGTTGACCACAGGGCTGTTAGTGCACTGGCTGATGTGCTTACCAAGCTTCCGGGGACTCTGCAATTTTTTTCAAGACCCCAGGAGGCATACAAGGCAGCAAACGATTCTGTTGTACTTTGCCGTTACCTTGTTTCTGTGGACTCAAACTCCTACACCCCGGATTTGGCCAGGTCACTAAACAATCTATATAATGCCATTGATGGACTCGGACAGCACTCGGAGGCACTCCCAATCATCGAAGAATGTGTCAAACTCCAGCGCCAGTTGGTTGCCGTTGACCCAGGATCATACACCCCGGATTTGGCCGGGTCACTCAACAATCTACATATCGCTCTTTCCAATCTCGGACAGCACTCAGAGGCACTCCCATTCATCGAAGAAAGCATCATACTCTACCGCCAGCTAGTTGCTGTTAACCCAGGATCATACACCCCGGATTTGGCCATGACACTCAACAATCTAACTAATGCTCTTTCCAATCTTGGACAGCACTCGGAGGCACTCCCATTCATCGAACAAAGTGTCAAACTCTACCACCAGCTAGTTGCCGTTAACCCAGGATCGTACACCCCGGATTTGGCCATGTCACTCAACAATCTATGTAGTACTCTTTTGCTTCTCAGACGGCACTCAGAGGCACTCCCATTCATTGAAGAAAGCGTCAAACTCTACCACCAGCTAGTTGCCGTTAACCCAGGATCATACACCCCAGATTTGGCCATGTCACTCAACAATCTGTATAATGCTCTTTCCAATCTCGGACGGCACTCGGAGGCACTCCCATTCATCGAAGAAAGCGTCAAACTCCGGCGCCAGCTAGTTGCCGTTAACCCAGGATCATACACCCCAGATTTGGCAATGTCACTCAACAATCTATATACTGCTCTTTCGGATCTCGGATGGCACTCGGAGGCACTCCCATTTATCGAAGAATGTGTCAAAATCCGGCGCCAGCTAGTTGCTGTTAACCCAGGAGCATATGCCCCAAAATTGGCCATGTCACTTAACAATCTATATAATGCTCTTTCCAAACTCGGACAGCACTCGGAGGCACTCCCATTCATCGAAGAAAGCGTCAAACTTTACCACCACTTAGTTGCTGTTAACCCAGGAGCATATGCCCCAAAATTGGCCAACTCGCTCAAGGATCTACATAATGCTCTTACCAATCTCGGACGTCATTCTGAGGCACAAATGGTCCAGATTTGAGCATGTTCTCCTCGTCATTGCATCGGCCACTTTACTGCCTGCACATGGCAATTGGTATATTCGGCTCGACATCAACCTCAATTTTTTGCAAACCATCGAAAAAATATTTACAGGGTTGGCCACGCTACACCCATAACAAATCACAGTTGCAGCTTTCAATCCTAATATCGTATCCATTTCCTTTAACAAATTTTTTCTCATTGGTGTTGTACTGATCTATGTTTCTGTATCACGGATGATGTCAAGGTTAGGATCGATCGATGATGCAAATTGGTTGAGACGAAGCCCAAGTCGATTGGCGGTCGAATGCCGCGGCCACTTGGTTCACTTAGTCAGATTCTAGCTTACCGCGCGCTGTTCCTAACACTTTATGACCCAACCCAAATTTCGCTGTTTCGAATCCTATGATGACTGCCCATTCCTAGTTCAGGTACGACCCGTGTTTGACCAGCGCTATATTACCACGTCTTGTATGTAGATAGTGCATTGTCATGTCTCCTGGTAACCACTTGTGCACTACATGACCAGTGCTACTACTGGATGTCGTTCATCAAATGACGAAATCCAGACATGATGTGCACTTCCAGTGATTCCCTACCTTGAAGACCCTTCTGACCGCTATGTCCTCTCCTGCCAAAAACTTTTGTTCAGTAAGCGGGATAGTGAATCAATAAGGTTGGTCCTAACCCTGGAATGGACCGGCTCCGCAACCGTGCGCCACCCGGATCATAATTAGGAAGTTGATGTCGATTACTATGTCCATCTTCGTGAATCGATCAACATGAATTACTTAACACTCTAGATTGAATGAGGAAGCGCGCTAATGGAGCGATAAATTAACGCCGCTTGCCCTGTCACTTGATATTGCTCGGCACGAAACCGCCGTGATTATTGCTAGTCGGTGGTGTCTTGTGGCATCTGAGCAAGGACAACCCTGTTTGGCAGATAAGTATCCTTGTTCATGTTCAAAAGTGCAATCCTCAAAACCCCACTTCTACAACGAGCTCAGTGGCAGACAACCCTTTGCATATGCTCTCTCTTCGCCCTCCAACTTGCTCTAGAGGCTATAGTTTCGGATATGATTGCGCTGACGTACATGCTTCCAGGCTCGCCACATTGGCTGATGGCGCTTGCACTCCCAAACTCGTACGGCAACACGAATGACCTAACAACACCTACGGATGCACCAGCTCTCCCAGCTATTCGATGACCTGGATTATTCTGAGAGCCTTCGGTACCCTCCAATCTACCTGCTGTGCGCGTGATACTCGTGGAGGACCCAGGGAATGCCAGTGAAGTATTCGAGTATTCGACAGCGTCATTACTAAATCCAAAGGGCCACCTAGCCTGCTATTCCTATCCCAGCCTGTGCATTAAATTGGATACAGTATTACCTCACATTGCAAAGCAGATGCCGTTCCTCAGTAGTGACATCATAATCCCCTTTCCACAACACCACAATTCCCAAGTACTCTAGGTTTGACCGTGAACTCTCCTGCAATTGACGCTACAAAGCCTCAAAGTCATTGCAGCCAATCTGTGTGGTCAGTAGCTTTGGTTCCTGAAATAGTATGGCGACTGAGCACTGGAAGTGCATGTGCGCACTGAGCAAAATTAAGATGCCAACGGATCCACCACAATCTCTGTACCCAATCTTCTCCCACTATTGCTCCGGTCGTCATTCCGGAAAGTGGGGCTATAGAATTGCTCTTATAGCTCGATATGTACAACCCCTACAAGCAGCCGCGGACGAGATTAATGGTTACGAAAGCGGTGAAGCGGTCGCATTCGCTGTTAAACAGTATAACAAAGCAGAGGTTTCCCGCGTTTTTGAGGAAATCAAGGTAAAGTGGCCAGGAGCTGTGATCCACGATGCTATCCACAATATCGCACATAGAATCTCGAGACCATTCCTGCAACTGACCCAGCAGATTACAGGCAAGCGTTCCACCGCTCCTGGTGCCGTTGCTTCGTTGTTAAGTGGCCTGCCCTTCGCGTTGGGCTAATAATGTTTTTGGCCGATTGAGCATATGAAAACCAACAGACGAATCGGCTCAGATAAATATTCTGGGTGGCTTTGTGTTTAATTCTATCGTTCCGCGAGTACTTACGCCATTAACGAGCTAGGATACCCCAAGGCGTATTGATATTTGCGTGAGCGCTTGAACATTTTCTGCTCTCCGACATTCCCCCAGACTCAATGGTTAAATTCATAGTTCTGCTTCAGCCGCATGGAGAGCCCTTCCGGCGTTTGCTGCACTTTCTGCAGAAAAACATCGTGTTCGATCGCTGTCATGAAGCCTGAATAAAAAACAAATTTGGGAAGGATAACATTCATGTAGTTAATCGCGAGTCTAGATTTGACATTTCAAGACAAAACGTACTCAGTAGTGGAAGATGCAGAAAGCGTTTGGTACTCCGGAGTGGGACACGAATCCAGATATCGTTTTGAACCCAGCAGATGTCGCCGTGTATTGACCTCTGGACACAGCTAACGGTCCCATTGCAGGCGTAGTGATACCTTGCCCCTCAGCATGGACATGGGAGATCGGTACGTCATATCGCACAGGCCCGGAAAGAAAATCGTCGTCTCCGGGCTTTCTAAGTATATTGGAGGCGGTGACGATTTCACCACGCTCCGCAAACGTCATAAGCAAATCCCGCAGCGGGATTGACTTATAGATTTTGAGCGGACATTCCACGGGATGGTTGGGACCACACTGTACACACCGTCAAGGACGTTCCAACCACGTCAGCGTTCTCTGCGACCTGATTAATTTCTCGTAGGTGGTGCATGCAGGATCTCCTCGAACCAAATAACGCCTGGACATAAAAGACCACCGCAGAGATTACAGTGGGGCGGGTCCTCTAACGATACACCTTTCACCAGGCTTGATGCATGGCCAAGTGCGGGACGGAGAAGATCAGCGTCGTTATGTTCGCGATGACCACATGAGGTGCAGAGTGTGTCTAGCACAAAGAGTTTGGTGGATTGTGTGACATAACTTCTCTGTACGCGAGACCATGGGTGACGGTAGTGTGTAATTCGTGCAAAAAATAACGGAATTGAGGCACGGAATCGAATTTGAATAAGGAGTGGACCTCAGGACCGACGAACAATGTAGGCCGGGGCAGACAAACCCGATATGACAAAGGGAGCCCAATTTCTTAAAAAGTCTCACGGGTCGGAGCGCGCGAATGTGTAGAAAGCACATAGGAACGTGCGACACCTATCACGGTGTAGTGGCTCGAGCTAGGTGTGGGAGCGAGGATGAGAAGGGGTAGATTATTAAGTATGGAGGGCTGTAAAATAAAGGGGAAATGAAATAATTTGGTTTAAACGAAGGGATCGAGTAAAGTGCGAAAAGTTCATATGTGAGGGGGGTCATGGTCCGGTCATGACAGAAGGTGTTGTACGGAGTTGTCGGCCCGTGTCCTGAATGTATGAGTGGTCGCACTGCCACGACACATCGGGGCCGCGAGGCAATAAACCTGAACAACGCCCTTTGCCAAGTTGTTGTGGAACCTGTTGGAAGTATGTTCACCACCACAACAAAAAACTGTCGAAATCTCGCTCGGGTATCTCAAAGTGCCATACCGACGCCATAACCGTCTTATGCCCCAAAATGAAGGGCCGCAAGACCCCCCCACAGGTCCTCTTGTGAACCTGGGGGGGCTCGAGAACGTGACCAACGAAGCATGGGCTAATTTTATGCGCAACACCCAAAATTCAGAAGCAACTAGTATTAACGGCTCAAAAAAGAGGCCGTCGGACTCTTCGCCCCTGCCGAATCGCGCAGCACCCTCAGTGCCGAAGACACCACCCCAGAAACCCAACCGCATATTGCAAAGCGTGACTGTCGAAAAATTTGTAACATCGATCAACTCTGCTTGGGAAGCTGCCACTAGATTAAAAATGGAACTCTCACCACCAACGCTAGATGAATCGGTCAAAAAGAAAATCGAGGATATCTATGTCATGTTCGGTGCGCCCCTCCCAAAGTTCCCAGACATAACTCCCCTGTCCATTGCCCTTGAACACGCTACTGCCACATGTAAGAGCTTGGCTCAAATGAACGCTGAAGGAGAGAACGAAGGAAGGTCAGTTGGGAGGTTCAAACGAGACCACCACCAAGCTGTTCCCTGGTTCTTTAGTTAGGATGGGGAAGTGTACTAGTGTTATTTATTGTAAATATAGTACCAATCCGAGTGTTTTGGCTAATTCTATTTTTATGGGTTAGTTTTAAAGTTCCTGAGAATTGACTTACAGATAAACCGAGCCCTGCGGAGCTGTTTCTTTATTGAAATTTATTAATTTGTCTAGGTGTAATTCTGTGTAGCGTTGTTTAATTTGGATTTAAACTTGAATTTAATCTTCTACTTGGTGAAGTTTCAAAGATTCTATTCAGTTAATGAATTTGGATTCTGTCTGGAGTGTCCCTTGAGTTTGTTTTATTTTTGTCTTATTTTATTGCTTGTTTTAACAGTAGCAAAATAACTGTTTTGTGTTTACACTTTGAAATCTGGAGTGTTAACCAGCTCTCCTCTTGAAATATCTACTTAATATTTCTCTCCTTTATTGCTGCCTTTTACTACAGTGGCAATCTTAACTGTATATCACTTTTTCGCACTGGAGTGACAACCAGAAATGCTTGAGAAAAATAATACTCTATTTTCTTACTTCTCTAAGGGGGGCGAAAAGTCGCAGAAAGGGTCTCCCTTTTATACTCCTTGGGTCGCCTTCCTTTTTCACACTCTACCTTCTATTTACAGGATTTATTTACAGTGTATTTTTCTCAAACTGAATAAAAAATGAAATTTTCATGCTATAGTTCTACTGCACTTATGCTGCGCTGAACTGCGGTTCTACTGCGGTCAGACTGCACCTAGAATTCTTATTGTCCTCCCTCACCTAAGCTATTTTAATGGTTAATTGGAACTTGACTGTGCTGTATTTGTCGCAGTTACCTATTTCAAATTCCCTATATATACCATTAAATTTGCTATGACTCGATGATTCTGAATTCAAACTTCGCATTATTATGCATATGGCTGTGCTGAGACCTTCAGCTGATTTATTCCAATTTTATTTAGTGACATTTACTTAAAATGAGACTGAAATGATAAATGAGTGAATTATTCAGGTTTAAAACTGAAAGAACAAGTTGCTAGTAGTCAAGAATTACTCAAACGAATGTGTTATAGCTCTCCACTTCATTAGAACATCGTTCCCTAAAATTCCCGCCATGGTCCGTCGTAGTTTAGTGGTTTTCGTGAATTTCGTTCATATTCCCTGATTCCCTTTTGTATTATCACATCCTAATCCTCCATATGTATTGTTGGTTGTTATAGTAGGTTGTCCTTGAAGATATCATATTTTTATGTATTTTATTTAGGACTCTGGACCTCTTGAAGCTGTTTTCCCGCGCGTTTTCAGGTTTCTAACTTCATGTCCTTGTATCTCATTCATTTCTGGATGTTTTCTCACGTTCTTGGTATCATAAATTTTCATTTATTCTCACCTTTCCAATGGTACTAAGATTGTGTCCTATTTCCTGGTATTTGTTGAGTTAGCAAAGATTCATGCACACATTCGGTAATCACGTGTGTCGTTCCCATAGTCGTTCATATGTGGGAGCCGTTTTCGTTTAATTGTTTGGGATTTATAATATGCGTGGGTGTTTATTTCTTTCATATGGGCTTCTGTGATTTATTTCAGATTTTTCCCTCATGATCTAAGGTTGTTTTGCACTTTCCGTGCTTTGTTTTGACCGGGCTCTTCCTTATTTGGACGGAAATTGGTCTTTGCGATCTGCCGAAGTGCGGATCTCGGTTCCAACGGCCGGTTCCCTGCGCATCGCCACCCTCACGTGTCATTACACATGATGTGGATTTCTATATTCCCGTCATGGGTATAGCTTCACAACGGCTGGACCGTTTGGGCTGAAAATTTGCATATCTATAGTTCCCCATTTTTAATAATTTCTGTGTAAATTTCGTTGTATGTTTTAATTATGGATCCTATGCAAACATCGTCTTTTCCCTGAGCTTGGACTTTTGATGTCGCTATTCCCATTATTGGATATCTCATTAACGCATGATCCTTTTATTATGAAACTTTGGGAGGATTAAGTTTAGATCCCTTCCTTTCTAATGGGCTATCAAGCTTGTCTCGGTCGTTACTAGTTAATCTTCGCGCTTGCCTTTTAGACATTGTCCTCATTTTGCAAGGGTTTTAGTCATATCTCCGTCGTTTATGGGTAGTTTCCCTTGTAATTACTCTCATTGGGTCCGTTTGGGGGACATCTACATTTCCTATTATAAACACGACTTTGACTTTTGCATTAGTTCCTGAGGAATCCTTGTTCCATGGTATTTCCATCCTTGGCTACGTGTGCGGATGTGGGAAAGTAGTTTTCGTGGAGGTTCTCTGGTTATTTTTATAGTCAAATCTTGGTCGATTGTCCTAATTCCTGGTTTAATATTTGCTATAAATTCCCCCGAGAATTCCGTCTCGTTGGTGGTAAGCTTGAAGTATTTTTGCTATTTTTCTTTCTTTCGATTTATCGTGCACAGTCATAATAATTCGTAAAAATTCGTAAAATTCGTTAAAATTCAGGTCCTTCTATTTTCTCATATCTACTTGTCGTATGAGGTTTTGTGATTTATCTGGCATATTTCCATAATGGGTTTCCATAGTGTGGCCATTATTTCTCCTACAACGCTACCCTTAACAGCGGAGCTAGTGAAGGCGAATGAGAAAATAATGCAGACACAGGAACCTGCAGCTAACATGCCGAAAACAGTGAACACCATGCATTCTGCACCAGCGCCCTCAGTACAATCCCCCACATCCCAGAACAACAACCACCACACCATCATACACTCTGCAAACCCCATCCCAATCAAACCAACCAAGAAACCAGATAATAAACCGCCCCAGCCAACACTACCCTCCCAAAAGAACCACCCTAGCCACCTGATCATTGCCACCGACCCGCCGCTTCCTATTCACAAGCATAACATACAGCCCGACACAGTCCGATGTATTAATATGCTACTGAAGGAGAAGCAACCCATGGCGAACAAGCAAATCTTGGCTGCATACTCCTCTGCGCGAGGCAACATCGTTGTTGTTGGAGCAGTTGGAACACACGCAGTAGACTTAACACCCCTCAAAGAGGAAATAGTCAGCATTATCAATGATGGCCAGCCCTACTGAACAACTGCCTGGCAAGACAAAGCCCTATATCGGAAAAAGCTCGATGGTGTCCCCACCAGGGAGACGCCAGGAAGCGACCCATACAACCCCGAACAAATTCTTACTCAACTTCAAGATGGGTATGGCCCGCTCTGGGACCAATTCAGCCCCACAGCACCACCATCTTGGTTGGCCAGCGATGTGAAACTACGAACAAGTCAAAGAGTGTCACTTGTATTTACGTTTGACAGCTTCGAAAAGGTGCAGCAATTCCAGAGCGCCAAATCTTTCTATATCAGGTACATTGGCTACAGTCTCTGACTACAAAGACCGGCCCTGCCCAGTTCACTGTGAAAAATGTGCGTCTCTCCACCACATGTCACATCAGTGCAAGTCCGCCCACCTCTGCCACGTATGCGGTGATGAGGACCATATGACAAATGACCACCCTGAAGACCAACCACCGAAATGCATCAACTGTAAGGAGGACCACCTGTCAACCAGTCGCATCTGCCCGGTATATTGCAAGAAGGCACAGATCATGCCTAAACTATTGGTAACAAACATGGGAAAGACCTCCGGACCCCCTGCTGTCGAAGTCTCAATGAGAGACAGCCCATGATCGGACCTCTGCCCCTTCTCCTTCCTTACATGACACCCACCCCCTGATGCCACAAACCAGAGGATTATGCTTTAACCTGACATCACCCACCCGCCCTTCCTATTTTCCCGTCCCGATGACCTCACATGTAAACTCGATGTAGATTACAGTAGGGGTAGCCGCACTGTTGCGTCGTCACGCGACCGCGGGGTAACAAATCAGAGTACAACAACAACAATAAACCTGAACCACCACCACCACTGACATAGAGGCTGGAGCCTTATCTATCACGAGGATGCCACCAGAGAAACGCGGATGGTTTCTCACTCCGGGAACTTGTTGGAATTTGCATGTGGTCTTTTAGGGAAACCTAAAAGTTGGACATACTGGGAATTAAACTCCAGTCCTCTGGATCGCGAACTCAGTGTGCACAGCCATTACACCATATGCCCTGATAGGCTGAGGTGGTTATTTCAACACACCCCCTTCACATTGGATCGATGTTATAAAAATGGGGCCTAATTGGCCCATTTCTATAGCGTTCGGGTGCAGGAGGGGGCCGTGACATTGAGAAGATGTTACAATTAATGTAACAGATGTTGTAACAGTGGTGTTTACAATAACATGGACATCGGGTGTTTTGGGTGATAATAGTTGGTTCTTGTTGTATTATATACATATCACGTGACTTTGTACTGTACAGAGCCCATAAGAGGCTAGAAATGGGAAATTCCCATTTCCATAACAATCAACCATGTGATCCACATGTGACCCAAACCACCAGGGTTCCAACAACCCGTGAGCCGTCACCCCCTGAATTCATATTCAGGCCAGACTTACTGCTAATCTCCTACATGTCCATGTCATGTGGTCTGAAGCAGCCGGATTTGGGTCCTTAGTGCTCTGAGCTACACCCCCTGAAACTTTGTCAGGCCGGCTAATTTAATGCTTGACTTCACGTGCCCAGCTCACATGGCAGCAACCGGATTTGGGTGTGCTTGGTGTATTCCGCAGAATGTCCACCATGTTGGAATTTGCATGTGGTCTTTTAGGGAAACCTAAAAGTTGGACATACTGGGAATCGAACTCCAGTCCTCTGGATCACAAACTCAGTGTGCACAGCCATTACACCATATGCCCTGATAGGCTGAGGTGGTTATTTCAACAGAACTGGCCCATTTCATCTCTCTTTTGATCTGCCAAAGGACTTCATTGACTAAACCTAAATGCCCCACCCAGCACGTTCCACAACGCTCATGTGCATGTGAAAAGAAAATGTAAAATACGATTCCAAAAGCAACTAGAGTATTTAAATTGTAAATATGTGAGATGTAAGTCTAAACAATGTGTCCAGCTA